GAGACCGGTTGTCACTTGTGCTGGGCTTAGGGCTGCTTAGCTAGAGCTGCAAGGCACAGCAATTCCGGCTGATGCTTGTTTGGGATTTGTGGACCTCTCAGAGATTCTCGGAAAGTCCACAGTATGAGCTGAGGCAGGCTGCTTGTGTAGAGGAGCTGCTGGAGGAGGCTTGGGGCAGGCCTGCAATAGGTTGGGGCGGGGTCTTGGAATCACCACAGTGGGGCAAACAGTGTTAGCCAGGTTAATGGAGAGCACAGATTTGGTGCCCCCCTTCACCTGCTGGCTGTGTGGAGGGAGAATTCAACAGGACCAATGGTGCCTGCCAGCACTTCCATCCCCAGAATTGCTCTGACCTCTGTTCCTCCAGCTCTTACCCTGAAGTTAGTCAATTCAGTTCTTCCCCGTACATATGTCTCAGCACATTTTGAGGTGCTGCCCTTGTGCTGGAGCTTAGAGTGAGTGGGTTTGTGAGCAAATGAGTCTGTGCACAGGCTCTTTAAGAGAAGGTCCTCTGCCTCTAACAACACTTTGTTTTTCTTGGACGCAGTCCCTGCTGGTTTTCACAGACAGGTATTATGGGGACTCTTTTTCCCGGCACTGATTCCTCGGGTTGAGGAGCCCAGTGTGGAGCTAGGACCCCTTACTCTTAAGTGGGGACCTCCACATCTGAGATACCCCTCCCGATTCTTAATCACCACACTATGGGTACACATATCTATAATCCGTTCTGTATCTCTGCGCCTACCAGTCTCCATGTGGCTTCTTTATATCCTTAGTTATAGGAATTATGTTCAGCCAGGCTTCCGGTGGTTCTCAATAATGGTTTTTCTATACTTTAATTGTAATTTTGATGTGGTCATGGGAGGAGGCATGCACAGCATTTACCTACTCTGCCATCGCGACTGGAAGTCTGGGAGCGTTCTCTTTACTCTTCATTTCGCACTAAAGCCTATGCTAATGAACCTTCTGCCAGCCCCATCCTGGTGATTATCACCAGGATAATCTGAGGATAATCTTTAAAACTCACTTTTCTTGCAGTTTGGTAAATAGCACAACTTGAATTTCAACAGGAGAAAGAAGAACTAAAACTAGTTACAGCCCTTATGTTTGAACAACTTGTGAAATGAATAGTCACAGAATATGACTATTGATAACCATTTCCAATTGGACTCCCTGCCTGTGTTATTTTGAGGGTGGATTAGGTTAGGTTTTGATTATAGAAACCTAATATCTGAAGCCTGGAACTTTAGAGAGGACAGTCAGACTGATGAAGGGCATTTAAACTATGAAAATGTGGAAAGGCTCCAATAAGGAAATATCCTGGAGAAGAGAATACACAGAGACAAGACAGCCATTTAGAGATAGGTTGAGGACTGTCCTATGACAAAGAAACTTGATATTTCCTATAAATCTTGACTGGAAATCTGGAAGTATTCTCTTGACTTCATTTCGCACTAAAGTCTATGCTAATGAACCTTCTGCCAGCCCCATCCTGGTGATTATCATGTTTCTGAGGATAAAATCTTTAAGGACCAGTGCATGGAGGCTACAGGGAGAGGAATCTATTTTTTTTAAGATTTTATTGGGGCAGGGGAACAGCACTGGGGAATCGGGAAAGGGGAACAGATAAGTTGCTGTCCTTTTGTTCTTCAGTCTAGTTGTGGAGGATGTCGTTTCACTGGCCTATGTTGGTATTATCATTACGTTCTTCCCGAGTGAGGCAGGCGCTTGCCAGCCATTGGACGGCTGCTCACTGCAGCTCATGGCAGCTCCTGAAAGCTCACGCCAGCTGCCAGCCAGCCCCACTGCACCCTGTGCTGTCGTCAGCAACTCACAGCAGCCCAGCTCCAGGTCGAGCGGTTGTTCACCATCTTAGCTGTAGAGGGCACAGTGTCACTGGCCCACATGTGGGATCCGAACTGGGGCCCTGCTGCTCAGAGCTAGCGTCCCAAGCCAACTCCTAACCAACGTGCCACTCCGCCGGCCCGGGGAGAGGACTCTTAGTGTGTTCTAAAGAAGAATTTGGAATGGATGGGCTCTCAGGCTGTGGGTGTTAGGCTCTTGGGGCTGTTCAAGCACCTGGAATGGTTCCTTGGCAGGAGTCCTATAGTTGGGCCAAATTACCTCTAAGATTTCTTCCTACCCCTCAGGTACTTTCATTCTAAGTCTTCCAAGTCCTCTTAAAAACACTGTTAAACTTTAGGAGCTTTGTGTTTGAAGATTGGGGGGTTTGTAAAATGATGGCCACCCATGAGTATTACTGTACTTGTTTGGTAGGTAACCAAGATACTACAGGTTGATTCATATGTAACTTCATTTACCACGCATGCCCTGTATGTGGGGCACTGTGTTAAGTGCTATACAGAAATTAGTTTTACAGTAATCTTGTAAGGTCAGTATTCATAGCTGTATGGATGAGGGAACTGAGGCTAAGTGAAGTTAAGTAACTTATGCAAGGCCTCGCAGTGAGTTAAGGGGAAGTAGGAGCCAAGATGCAAACGTGAGTTTGACTCCAAAGCTTGTGTTTGTAACTATAGGAGAATGAGTTTTGTTTTTGTTTCCTTTTCCAGACCTGTACCTTCTATTCCTGAACACAGAAATATATTGGTTGAGAACACACCTAAGATCTCTCCCAACTCTTGAGTACTGATAAGCAAATGTTCTTTCTTTCATTTATAACAGCCACTCTGCGCCACACTATGCTGTACAGCAGGGGTCAGCAACTTTTTCTGTAGAGGGCTGGATAATAACCGTTTTAGGCTCTGCAGCTTATACTCACCTCTACCATTGTATCCAGAGACAGTCTGTAAACAGTGAGTGTGGCTGTGTTCCGTTACAGTTTTTGTTACAGAAATAATCTTTGGAGGGACCTGATTTGGCCTATTGGCTGTGGTTTGCTGATTCTGCTCCAGAGCTCTTTTCCATGGTAGACACCAGTGGTCCTTTTTAGGGCTTTGCTGAGTTGTGCTTATGTTTCTGTTTGTGATTTGTAGGCTTTAGGTAAATCCATTGCGGTGTATACTTCCCAGTTTGGATCGCCCCTTTAGAGGTGCACTCTGTGGAAATGCATCCCCCTACCTTTCTGGTGCGACTATAATATGCGCTATCCCTGTGACCCAATTGCTCCCTTCCTGCAGTTCCTGCAGAGACATGCACATGGGCACAAGGAGGCCTTTTCAAGATGGTAACCTGCCAAATGTGGCATGTCTGTATCATGGAACACTGGCAGCAGTTTAAAAAGACAAGATGGGTCTCTATTTTCTAACCCTGGTTGTCAAAATTTATCATTTGGCAAAAAAGCAAATTATAGATAGATTTCTATAATACCTTTTTATGTAAGAAAAAATTTTTTTTTAAGATTTTATTGGGGAATTGGGGGAGGGAACAGCGTTGGGGAGTCGGGGAAGGGGAATAGACAAGTTGCTGTCGTTTTGTTCTTCAGTCTAGTTGTGGAGGATATCGCTTCACTGGCCCATGTTGGTATTGTGATCATTGCACTCGTCCCGGCTGAGGCAGATCAGACGCCGACCATTGGACAGCCGCTCACGGCTGCTTACAGCAGCTCTCGCTGGCTGCTGGACACTCATGCTAGCTGCCGGCCGCTCACAGCAGCCCACTGCAACCCACTGCAGCCTACGCCATCTCCGACCACTCACGGTAGCCCAGCTCCAGGTCGAGCTGTTGTTCATCATCTTAGCTATAGAGGGCGCAGCGTCACTGACCCATGTGGGATCTGAACTGGTGGCCCTGCTGCCCAGAGCTCACAATCCCAAGCCAACTCTTAACCACTCGGCCGGCCCAGGAATGTATTTTTTATACATACATTTTATGGGGGTCAAGTGTGTGAATGTGAAAAAAAGGCCTAATGGTGTCCATACCAAACTAGTAAGAACTGGGGAGGAGGGTGGAGAAGAGTGTGAGATTGGGGCCAGTGACTGTAGCCTTAATTATCATGTTTCTGGTTTTTGCTTTTTTTTAACAAGGAGAATGTATTTGTGCATTACTTGTGTAATTAAAATATAAGAATAACAGGAAAGATCTGCTTGGCTTCAGCCCTGTCATAATCTCCACCAGCCTTCCCAGAGCCATCCCAAGTAAACATACAACTGCAGAAGTGCAGTGGGCTTGCTGGGAAGGTGCCCTCACCCCCATGGCCCCCCATGGCCGTTGCATCCACTCAGCCCAGAGAGCAGAAAGTAGACGAGCACGTTCATGGCCAACGGGATTACAACGTCAGCTCCGATGACTTTCTTCTTGGGTACTGTTGCCTGTCATTTGGATGGTCATTTCACTTTTCTGCAAAGTTATTATATGGTCAACCTTGTGTTCCTGTTGATGAAAATGCAGATGACCAGGTCAGTTTTAGACACGACTCAGGGCATCTGAAAGGCAGCCGCAATGCCGGGGGAGGTGTTACGGTGAACAGATATTACAGGAAAAGCTGGGCAGAAATGGGTCATTTATTTCTTGTTTAAGGATCGATCAGTCCATGTCCTTGTTGCTAATGGCTCTGCCATTTTTCTGTGTGTTAATCCAGGAGGAATTTTGTTGTCAGAGAATAAAAGGAGGTTGTCCATAATTGACTTTAAGCAGCAAACAGTAAAGCACTGAGCTCTTCAGCTCCACCTTTCTTGTAAGTTTATCATTTATTCCCAGGTCATGAAAACTAATTAAATTATGATAACATATTTCCGTAAATTTGGAACCCTAAAATCTAAATGGACTTTTTATTTGTCTATATACATTTAGTATGAAAGACTCCGTTATGGTGAAAACTTATTTCCTTCAGCTGAAGTCATTTGCTGTTACGAAAAAAAATCTATTCAAGTGTATTTAATATCATATGGCAGTTTTTGATATATTTTATATCCTTCTAGACTCTGAGAATTGGAACACCAAGAAGGTTTGATGTTTTGTGTGGCGCCACCTGAATTAGAAACCAAGATGAACATAACCAAAGGAGGTCTGGTGTTGTTTTCAGCAAATTCTAATTCATCATGTATGGAGCTTTCAAAGAAAATTGCTGAGTGAGTTATAATCATACCATTAAAATCTGTATTCATTAGGTGACGTTTTAAATTTGATAGTCGGATTAGCACTGATTGTTAAACTTGAAATCAGGTATTGTATAGTTAATCTGCATATCATCTATATATAGTAAGGGCTCACCTTTTTTTAAACATGGTAACACCCTGCACATTCATTCAGCAGACATTTATTGAGTGCCTCAGGAGTGTTAGGGATTGTATTAGGTGCTACAATGTATAGAATTATTGAGTATAAAGAACAGTGAAGTGGATACTATGTGGAAATAGTCTATAGATTATAGTTCAGCATAATTTTAGTTATTTATTAAATAATATTGAACTCCTACTATGTACTAGGCCTTGATCTAGATATTAGAGGTTAACAATAAAGAGCTAGTCACGATCCTTCCTTCTTACATTTAGTGGTCCAGACAAGAACAAGTCAGCATAATAAACAAGATAATTTCAGATGGTGATAAACGTTATGAAAAAGCAGTGAAAGGAATGATGGGGGCAGGTTGTTCTGTTTTAGCTTGGGTGCTCAGGTACCTGTTAAACAGAGGGGATGATATGTGAGTTGAGAACCCTGAACTAGTCACTGAGTGAAGGTCTGGGGGCAGAGCCCTCCAGACAGAGTGAACAGCGGGTAAAGTCCCTGTGGTGTGCGGCAGAAGGCATTGTTGTGTCTGGGGAACATGGCTGGAGTGTAGAGAGCCCAAGGAAATGGTCAGTGAGGCCGGTGCCAGGGCTACATAGACCATATGGGGAAGACATGGGGCAGGGTGAGGTGAGAGGTTAGGTAAAGGAGTGACAGTACAACTTAATATTAACTTTAAGTTTTATGATAAGAATGCCTCTATTTCATTTTTATCAATTTATGAATCATCCTTAAATAGTAAAGATGTTTAGTCTGTTCTGTTACCTTTTCAGCTTTTTCCCCCTTTCTCTTCTCTAGGCGGCTGGGGGTGGAGTTGGGCAAAGTGCAGGTTTACCAGGAACCTAACAGAGGTGAGCTATCTTTGACATGCGCAATGTTGGTCTGTGTGCGGAATATGACGTACTGTCTCAGGTCTTCATCCTCCACACCTGAAACAGTTAGACTCATCATCCAGTTAGTTTCATTAGCAGGAAGTCAGGCAGGCAAGGTGGGTGAAAGTGGTGTTAACTCCCACTCATACCAGCTGGATACAGAGCCCTGGGGCAAGTCGCACCTGGGGGGCTTAGATCTCGCTGAATAAAAACTACGGAGATGCATAAACCAGTGGTCAACTGAATGGAAACATTAGCTCAGTTGTTGGTTGAATTTATATCCCTTAGGCAGGATGAGTAAATCTTGTGTGACCACAATATTAGTTGTTATTCTTTCCCTCTAGGTATGTTGTTATTCTTTCCCTCTAAACTGCTATGGGTTAGACATCATGAAATCTTGTTAAGAAATGCTTTTTGCACTGATGGTTGCTAGTTGGGAGGGGATGGGGATGAAGGAGAAGGGGAAGGGATGAGACAATATAATCTGGTAACTACAATATGGCCTCAGGGATAGAAAAGACAGTCTGAGGAATATAATCAATAATGCTGTAAATATTTTTTAGGGGGCCAGATGTACTCATGTCTTGTTAGGGAGACCACTTCATAGACGGTGTAGAGGCCTGACCACCACACTGTATATCTGAAGCTGATGTTGAATAATATTGTATGTCAACTATAATTATATATACATATAGTCATGGGATGTGGAGTAGAGTGTGGGAATGGAGTCAATGGAATTGTAATAGATATGTATGATATTGGGGGTGGGAGGGCAGTAGATGGGAGGAGAAGGGTTATCACTTTGTGAGGGGTGAAAAGGATAACTATCACTTTGTGAGGGGTGAAAAGGATAACTATAACTAAGCATTGTTTTGTACACCTGAAACTAAAAAAAAAAAAAAAATTGGCAACACTGTGTAGCTGTTTGAGGGCTCCGCTGTAAACATTTGATTGCTCAATTTGCATTCCTCTGCCCTCTGTCTTGACTTTCAGGCACTTTGAGATCAAGCCAAAAATAAAAATTAGTTCTTTTCCAGCTTAAAAAAAAAAGAAATGCTTTTTGCTAACTGATTTATGTCATTGCATAAACATCCCAAGTTGTAAAAGGCATGTATTATTTATGCTTTGTAATTTGAGGGTGGATTAGGTTAGGTTTCGATGACAGAAACCTAACAGCCCTTTGTCTTTCTCAGACACAATCCCCTCAGGTTTTCACATGTTATGTGAAATGTTATGGGGACTCCTTAGTAGTGGTGGATATTTTAAATTATTCTACTGGGGGCAATGGGCAGCTTGCATGGGCTTGAGAGTTAGACATCTTATTCTTGACAAGTTATTTAACCTTTCTAAACTGCAAATAATTAGGGCTGTTTGAGGATTAAATGGATAATTTGTGTTCCTAACACAGTTCTTGACACATGATAGGTACTCAGTAAATATTAGTTCCTTCTCCTTTTCCATGGTAGGATTTTATCAAATACTTAAATATTATGGGACTTACAAGAGACTTTGATGAAAAGGCACAAATTTTCTGCCATTACTGCCTCCTTTTTCCTGTCTCCCAAGTTGCCTCATGTGGGTTCAGTAGGAAAAAAGTGTAATTGAAGAAAATATGCCAGGAGAGTTGGGAGACGATGTTGCTGCCAAAGGGAATTGGATGATGTCCTTTGTCTAGCCTGGAAGGGAGCGCTAGCGGTGGGCAGCTCAGGGATAAGCTGGTCTGCTGCATTCCAGGTTCATGAGTGAGGGGAGAGAAAACACTTGGTGTCTGCTGGGAAGGAAGGAGGGAACTAGCATTTGTGGATTCCTTCCTATTACAGATTCTGAAAAACTGAGTTCAGGGATGATGTTAGCAGGTCCCAGAAATACTAGGGTCAAGATTTGAATCCAGATCTCTGTGACTCTAAAACTCATTTTCTTTCCATGGTGCCACATTCCTTTGTAAACACGTAATTTCCCCCCCCCCAATATTTTTAATGAAAATGCTCAAACATATAAAAAAGTTGAGAGAATAGTACAATGAACACCCATGTGTATCTCTACCACTTAGAGTCAATAGGTGATATTGTGCTGTGTGAATATGTATGTATAGAAGTGAGTTGCAGACATTAAGACACTTAACTTCTGAATACTTGATGATGTATCTCCTAAGAATAAGGACTTTAGCCTACATAAATACACTACCAATGTCACATTTAAAGATATTAATGCTAATTCTCTAATCATCTAATATCTAGTCTGTATTCAAATTTCCCTCGTTGTCCTAAAGAGCCTTTTATAGTTGGGGTTTTTTTTTTTTCCAGACTAGGATTCTTGGTTCAAGCAGTGTGTTTCTAATATCTCCTGAGTTTCTTTTATCTAGAACAATCCCTCACCTTTTCTTTTTTCTTCCCATGACGTTGACTTTTTGAAGAGGTTGTCTTGGGCCATTTTGGATTTGTCTAATTGTTTCATTGTGGCTGATTACAGCTTTTTGAGAGTAGGGATATTGGACTTATTTATCTTTACTCTCACATTATGATAACATTTTGTGCCTAATAAGTTCTTAATTGTTGCTGGTTGAGTGAATGAATATAAATTTCCTATAAAGATACTATGCTCAGAGTGGTACAGTGCTTACTGCTTATATACAAGAGAGAAGGGTAGGTCTACTGGTTTCAAGTCAGAAATGTAATTCCATCTTAAAGAGATCATGTAGCTGACCATGTTTAAAAGTGTGATTAATGGCAGTATGTTTGTTATCCTTTTGTAGCATCTAAAACCTAATCTGTTTTGTAATAGTTCCAGTTTCCATATTTTATAACATGGGGAATGATGCAATTATTTTGTGTGGTTTTGAAAATATAAATCATATGCTTTCTTTACCTCTCCCCTCTTATTTCCTTTTCCTGCCAGAAACAAGAGTACAAATTCAAGAGTCTGTGAGGGGAAAAGATGTTTTCATCATCCAAACTGTTTCAAAGTATGTACTTATCTAGCAGAAGTGTTACTGCTTTCTGGGTTTCAGTTTGGGCATGAGTGTTTAGAATAATAAAAGCTGGCTAGACAGGAAGAGTTAAGATAGTTTTAAAATTGGTATATCTTACTCTGCTAATTTTTCTGACTTCTCGCTGACTTTTATGTGGTCTTTCAGTGTTCTTGAAGGGTAGAAATAACCAATTACAGCATGCCCCCCCTTATCCATGGGGGATACGTTTCAAGACTCAGTGGATAGTAGTGAACCCTATATATACTGTGTTTTTCCGTATACACACATACCTGTGATAAAGTTTAATTTATAAATTAGGCACAGTAAGATTAGCAATAATAACTAATAATAAAATAGAACAATGATAATGATACACTGTAATAAAAGTTATGTGAATGTGGTGTCTCTCTCTCTCTCTCTCTCTCTCTGTCTCTCATAACTGATGATAACCAAGATGGCTTACTAAGTGACTGATGGGCAGGTGTCATATACAGCATGGATATGGGATGATTAACGTCCCAGGTGTGACACAGCAGGATGTCGGGAGATTTCATCATGCTACTCAGAATGACATGCAATTTAAAACTTAGGAATTGTTTATTTCTGAAATTTTCCACTTAATATTTTCCTCCTGTGGTTGACTGTGGGTAACAAACCACAGAAAGAGAAATAGAGGTTGGAGGGGGGTGCTACTGTGTTGGAGTAGAGGTTCTTGGTGGTAATCGAAGCCCCATTCACCCTCTAGTATCGGGGTGGAGAAATTGCGGAGCACAGAACCACGCTGCTTCTGGCTCCTTGGTGTTCGAAGTCCTTTTATCTCCCTAGAAACAATTGTGAGTCCATTTGGATAAGTAAGTGCACAGAGGTTGTGTGCGTTACCCAAGGGGATAGGTAGGCACCGAAGACCAAATTGGACTTAGAATTCAGGACCTCAGAAGGGTGGCTCTTGTAATCCTTCCTCTTTTCAAGTCCTTCTATTTCTTTCCTTTGGCTTATTTTTGTTTATTTCAACACATTATTCTGCCCTTTCCTTTTGTCAGCTTCTTATTCCTCTAGCCAAAGCCATCTCCTTAATCCTCCTTAATTTTGGAATAGGAGTGGACAGCCGAGAAGTGGGGGTGAGGGGCAGATCATGAAGGGGCTCTGGGAGCCATGGTAGGGCCATGGGCAGAATGGGAAACCATTTCTAGCTCTTGAGCAGTGGGCTGCATGACCTGACTTTCATTTAATATCTAGATGGATGCTGTATGGCCAGAGGACTGCAGAGGGACTGTGGGGGGTGGGCAGGGAGACCTGTGGTAGCAGTCTGTCATGGTCACCTGTGGGGCGAGAGTGGCAAGGCCCTAGTGCGGTAATGGTGTAGAGGGACACTAACTTTCTAGATGGGAGAGCAGTGAAGGATGCCTCTGAGGGTGTGTCGTGAGGAAACGGGGAACAGTATTGTTATCACCTGAGATGGCAAAGGTTTTATGATGAAGCCGACTTTTGGGGGCAAAGAGCAGTTCAGTTGGGACATGTTAAGTTTTGAGATGTCTTAACAGACATTCAAGTGGAATCGTCAAGTAGCAGTTGAATTTGTTAGACTGGAGGAGTTGAGAATCTTGCACTGGAGTTATAAATTTGAGAGTCACCAGCATTTATAAAACTGTGAAGTTAAATGAGAAGCCCAAGAGATGAGGGGAGATAGAAGGAGAAGAGGACAAATGAATGAGTGTTAGGACAAGAAGGTGGGGAGAAGAGGAACCAGCAAAAGAAACCAAGTAGGGCAGGGGGAGAGCCATTAGAATCCTGGAAGCCACATGAGTTGAGCGTAGCAGGGATCGGGTGAGCAGCCATGTGTGGTGCAGCCAGTGGGTCAGGAGAGAGAAGGACTGAGAATTGACGGTGTGACTCAGCCACACAGAGGTCACTGATGACCTGGATTGGAACGTGTTCAGGAGAGACTGAGAGTAGATGAATTGGAGATAACGAGTGTAGACAACTTACTTGAGGTGTGCTACACAGGGGAGCAAAGAAATGGGGCAATGGGGAAAGTGGTCATCAGTTGTTGATTTTAATGGGAGTAATAACCTTGCTTATAGGCTCATGGGTATGATCCAGGGGAGTGTAGTGACAAATTGATGATGTCGAGGGGGAGAATTGCTAGGCAATACCTCCTGGTAGGCAAGAGGGGGTGGGAATTCGTGTGTAATTTGGAAGGCTGATTGTAGAGTAACTTTGGTGTGGGAAATCCATCTTTCACTGATGGCTGAGGGCTGGCATGCTTGCAGGGTCCCCATCATGGCGTGGTGGGAGTCCGTGGAAGCTCTTTTCTGAGTTCTTCTCTCAGTGAAAAAGGAAGTAGGATCATTGGCTGAGAGGGAATGTGGGGGAGCTGAGGGAGGCCTGAGAAGAGAGGAGTTGTTTTCTTTTTTGTGCTTTGAGCCTTGAGCCTTGTAGAGGCATGAGGCGCACACTGCTGACACTTGGTTGGAGCAGGGCGATTTTATCAAGTGTCTTATGTTCCTTGCTGGGATTCCTATCTCTTGGGTCACAGGGACGTGAACACCACCATCATGGAGCTCCTGATTATGGTGTATGCATGTAAGACCTCCTGTGCCAAAAGCATCATTGGCGTGATTCCCTACTTCCCGTACAGCAAACAGTGCAAGATGAGAAAAAGGGGCTCCATTGTTTCCAAATTGCTGGCTTCAATGATGTGCAAAGCTGGTAAGGATGGCAGACTTTTGATAATTAATTGGAAGCCTGGGAGTTTTATTTTCACCTTAGTTATTGTAAAGCGTTTTTTTAACTAAATTAGAGTGCTGAACAGGTATAAATAGTGATACAGCTTTTAAAGATAATGAGAAAGCAGTGCAGAGAATTCTCCTGTTCCCAGCTCCTGAAACCACAAAGGTAACAAGAAGAACTTATTTTTTCCTAAGTCCTTTGTTTAAAAAATTATATTGGGGCTGGCCGCGTGGCACATTGGTTAAGAGCTGGCTTGGGACACCAGAGGGCCTCGGTTCGGATCCCACATATGAGGGCCAGTGACACTGCCCTCTACAGCTAAGATGCTGAACAACAGCTCAACCTGGAG